GTTCCATATACCAGTCCCTTAATAATTCTGATACATTTGCCTTAAGGACATATTCAGCCAGAAGCTTTATCCCAAAACATTCAACTGAGACCTAAGGAAGAACTTTCTGGCTTTGTTTTTTTAATCAATGCAAAACTGGGACATTTTAGAGTAGGGGCTTTTCAAGCTGTCATTCACAATCCAGTGTCACAGTATCAATTTTGTGGATTAACATTTTTTTTAAAAATGGAATAAAAAATACCAGCATGCCACCCTTGTAAGGGTTTGTGCATGTGTATGCCTGCACATGTCCCAGACCAAGGTGGAAATACATTTCTGGCTATCGGTCAGTATGAGAGGGAGAAAGAAAGACAGTAAGACAGAGAGAGTTTAGTACTGATTAGCTTGTAGAGTTCTTCGTGGCAGGAATCTGTCTCCCCCCCCCCCCCGCCCCCTTCTTCCTTAGCCCAGTGTCATGTCTTAGCTGATTGAGTTTTCTTTCTGGAAAACATTGTATTTCCCCATTCATATTGAAGGATGATCACAACAGTGTGAAAGATAATTTATAGAAGACTTTCCAAAGTCGGAAATGAGAGAGGTGGTCTTGCCCTTGATTTATAAATGAGGGAGGCAGAAAGATCCTGAGGGTTAGGAAATAACACCCCAAAATACATCCCTTAGGATTTCAAATTAAGGGCACTTGAAGAATAACAAATAAAAGGTTGAGTTTTCTGTGAAGTTCCTTTATTTTCTTGTAGACATATACTCCAAAAGGAACTTAGTTGTCATGAATCTCTTCCCCATAAGTTTACACTTAATCAGACTATTGTGGGTTACCTCCTGATCTTTAAGGGACCATTTGTTTCCTGGATCCATTTGCTCTTCCCTAAGCCAGATTTTTGCCTTCTCCATAATGAAAATGTATGTAGACCTTACAGAGTATTCCAATATTACATGGCCTTGTGCATGTAAATGCGGCTGTACACTTTTTCTCCTATTAATCTGTCTAGTGTCATTTTATTTCCTAAACTTAGCGAACCCTCAATGATAAAGGGAGAATCATCCCCACCCCCCCACCCCTGGGTATATGAGTTAAGAGGTTGGGCTGTGAAGTCCAGGAATCTGGGGTTGAATTCTGTGTCCACAGTGTCTTGGTTATGTGATGTTGGTTAACTTGCTTTATCTTTAAACTAGGTATAAAAGTGACACCCAGAAATATTGCAAAGATTGAATGTGATAGATTCAGGTGTATTTGGTAAATCATCAGTAAACATTATCTGTCACTCTTGGTTTGTGATTAAGAGAGATTAAGTGACTTATGTTGGGTCTCAGGGTACCAGCTAGAGCTGGCTCCTTCTGGAGCTCTAGTTTTGTGATAGTTGTTGATCTTGAGATGAACTTGTGGCTTGAGTTTGTGGTTTATTTCTGGCAGTGAAAGGAAGTAGATGTTGCAGCAGAACAGGTGTGTGCATACAAGATGCCCTGATTTTGTAATTTAGAGAAAACAAAGCATCATTCAGAAACAGTGAAATAGGACTATTACAGTGGAATCTGAGGATGTAAATGGCATTTCTTGGGAAAACCAGGTGTTTTTTATTTCACCAGAAAGCAGCAGTTCTTAAATTCAATGTAGCAGTGTATATACTTAAACTGGTAGTTTTTTGTCCAGCACAGTGATAATTTTAGTGGAAATGCCAAATCTGGTAAATACTGATTTCTGAAAATATCCACTGGCCTAACAAAACTGCTGTGCACTCAGAGTTAGTCACCTTAAAATATGTGTAGTTAAATGTATGACGTGTTGAAGGTGTAGGATCGTGGACAAAATCCTACATGGACTAGTTTTTGGCACTGGCCCCTAATTTTCAAGTCTGGATCTCTTTAGTTCTGTTGTCCAGATGAGAGAGAGTCATAAACTTTCTTTCCCCTCAAATTAAAATATTTTTATATCCTTAAGTATGCAGCGAACGCTCATAAACTCTTCAGCAAATGGATGCTGTTACCATCATCCTCATCTTGGAGAAGACCAGGGCTGTAGACCTGGCTTTGTTGTTGCTAACAGTTGTGTTTGGTATGCTGCTGAAGCTCTCTGCACCTCAGTATTCTCAGAGAGTTGTTTGTACACTTCAGGTGCCTTCTGGCTCTTTCCTTCCGCCCACCGTGTTGAGTGTCTTGTTCTTGTCAGGCCTGAGTGATGTGATGCTGTCTCTAAGATTGAGACCATCTTCTGATAAGGACCTTTAGCCACACTGCCCTGCCAGGTGTTTGTCTTGATAACCTTTGTTTTTCTTTCCTTGATTTCATATTCCAAGTCTGTCTGTTTTCCTAACTCTGCCAAATGACTCCTTATGCTTTGTATTTTTTTTCAAACTGGAAGTACAGGTTTTGGGTTGGAGTCCAGTTTCCTCTTGGCAGAGCCTCACACATAAGGGATGTTCCTGCAAACAAGACTGATTCCATGGCTTTGTTGTTGTTTTTTAGATGTTGTTTGTTTGCCTTTATACTCTCCAACGTAGTACCCAGCGCTCCCTACATCCAGGCTGACCTAAGAAGAGCTACTCATGAGAAAGCAGTGGCTCTGATCCACAGTAAACTCTGTTTTTGCTTTGTTTCCTTCCTGGCCTTTAATTTTAGCTTGAAATTTGAAGAGCTTACTGGAGCTAATTTCAGGGCAGTTTTTTAGCTTTCACTTTTGCAAAAAGTGGAGCTGTAGATTTAATGTCCACAGCACCCCTTTGATGTTCTAGACTTATCTTCTGGTTCTTCTGAACAATCATGCACAGTGAATGAAGTAATTGAGTTGTTTTCAACATAATGGAACACCTGCTCAGAGAATGCTGCCAACTCACCTGCATATCTGATTTGCCAGCTATCCCTGTCATGTCAGTGTCTTGCTTATACCCCAAGAGTCAGTCTTGTCATGTACAGTTAGTTTGGTGTGTTCCTCAGAGGTCTATTACCTTCTTTGCCTAAAGGCGCTGATGTATCCCTCTTTTGGTACAGTACCTTTGCATTCCCATCTTGCCCTTGTTCTCCTAGCTACTGTCACTGGTGACTGTCAGTCTCTTAAAAATGGCTGCAAGACGAGATGCAGAGAGAGATCATGTGCACTCTGGGTAGGTTACTGTGCTCACTTGCCTTACCTTGGTTTTAGACTAGGTTTCTGACTAGTTTTCTAGTCAGTCATTCTTACAGTACTACTGATTATTTAGAAATACTCTTTGAAGGTGTGGGTTTTTAAAAAGACTGCTGACATTTTTTGACATGAGGGACTTAGGTCTTTTCAAAGAGAAAAAATTCTCTTACTAAAAGTAAGGCAGAGAATCTAATCTTTCCTGATCACAGAAAGCTGTCCTTGTTTATGGCTTGTGTTTGTTTTCTCATCTGTTTTCTTTGGTTAAAGTCTCAAAGTCAGCTGTGTGTTTCTGGTGGAGCCTTTGGTAGGTATAGTTTTGTTGTTAAAAATATCCTGGAGATAACTGCAGCCCTTGTTCATTATGTGGTGGGATTGCATGTCTTAATTTTCTCTTTGTGGTATCCCTTAGCCTTTTAAAAAGGATTGTACGTTTTGTATTTCTTCTGCCCAGAAATGAAATGAGATAAAAAAGTATTTTAAAACTTTTTATTTTATTATGGTTTTATATTCTGCTTTTAGTTTTCTTTTGGCTATTCTTGGTGGAATTAGAAACTTTTAAAAATATTTTAAGGAAGCATAGTGTCTCAAAAAATTAAACACAATTATCATAGGACCCAGCAGTTCCATCCTAGGTATTCAAAAAATTGAAAACAGGGCTGCAGATCTTTGTAAAGGAATACTCATGCCACACTGGTTAAGATAGCCAATCTTAGAAACAACACAGATTTCCACCATTGGATACATCCAGCCTTAAAAAGGTATGAAGTAAAGATACATGCTACAGCATAGATAAAACTTGAAAACATTATGCTCTGAGGAGAGAAGCCAAATACAGAAGGCCTCTTATTGCATAATTCCATTCGATAAGAAATATCTCAAACAGGGGAAACTAGAGAGAGAGAAAGCAAATGGATGGTTTCCAGGGGCTGAGGGAGATGAAAATGTTTGGGACTAGATAGGGGTGATGGTTTTACAACATTGTGAATATGTAAATGATGTCTAAATATTCAAATATCACTAACTGTCTAAATTCTTGAGAGTGATTGATATATGTTATAGGGATTTCACCTTGTTTAAAAAATTTGAAGGGGAGGCTCTATATGTTCTTGCCAATTGTAGTTTTTAAAGTGATCTCATAGAACAATTGCTCTGAGACGGAACACTTCAGTGTGGGTACAGGAAGGGAGTATGGAGGTGGTTGGCAGGGGCTCAGGTCTTAGTTTTTCACTCAGCTGCCAGGGGAGATTTAGCTTGGCCCATTGCCTCTCCTCTTTCAGCTTATAAAGAGGCTTAACGTAGGTTTTCCCTCTTAGGGTTGCTGTGAGAGTCAGAAGAGATAATAGGTAAAAAGTGCTGGGCATGCTGTACGTGCTTAATAAATACTAACCTTTGTTTCAGGTCTGTGGAAGGAGAGAATGAAGTGGACTCTAGCACAATGCTAAAACAGGCAAATAAGGATTGACATCAAGCCATCTAGGTTTAGGTTAGACCTTTGAGAAAAGGATAAAAGAAATCCTGTTCTCTAAATTCCTTTTAGAAGTTACCATAACCACATGGGCCACTGAAATCTGACTGACACCAACAGAAGCAGTATTTGTAAAGCACTAAGTGCCTAGCAAATAGTGAGGGCTCTACAAATGATTGAACTGAAGATAAAACCCCAGCCCCAGTATGGCTACTTGGTGTTAGTCTGCTGTCCACTTCCCTTGCTGAGCTACCTGGTTTCCCTTGGTGTCCAGCTCATTGTGGAGCTGGTTCTGTGAATGCACTGGGCTCACAGTGAGATGTGCCTCCCTCTTGCGTTAGCTCACAGTATTTGCAGGACATTGGGCTACTGGGTTCACCTTTATAGATCTGAATTTCTGATTCCCATTTTCTTCCTCAGGAGAAAGGCCTTCGTCATCCCCAGGCCCAGGCAGAAGCAGCAGCTGCATGGAGGAGAAAGGAAAGTGAGCGCTGGGTTGAGGCTCCCATCCTTCAGCTGTAGGGCAGAAGGGCGGGTGGTGAGAGAAGTCTCCTCTGAGTCTCCTTGGTGAAGAAGTAGTTTTTACATCTCCTTAGTCAGCACACAGTTGTGGAGTAGATATCTCTAATTTTAGGAAACTACTTGGATGTAAATGGGTATGTTGATTTCTCCTTTCTAATTCTGTTTGCACTAAACATCTTTACTGCACAATTAGCACCTTATTATGTACTGATAGTTCTTTACTGCTGGTGCTTCACAGCTTAGTGGGCAAATAATGCCAACTGTGGTACAGAAAGAAGAAAGATCTTGGGCTTGGAGTCTGAAGAGCGTGGCTTAGCTGTTGTGCATTCAGGCTTTCACTTATTTCACCTACTTCATCTTGCTTTCTTCTTTTGGAACTGCCGCACCCTTCTCCTGTACTTTTCCATCCACCCTTGGGGCCTGCCAGGTGTGGGTTTTGATTCTCTCTGTTCCAGTCAGGGGTTTTTCTGAAATTTTTTTAAATAAAAGGAAGAATTTATTATGAAGACTCATGTGTCTCAAGAGAATCCCAGGCAGTAACTGCACCCATATAATAAATGGGAGGTTAAAACGAGACCTTTCCTTGCCTGTTTCTTCGGAGACACCATGGATATTCTGTTAAATAAATGCAAAGCACCTTCCATGTAGAAATTACAAAGGGAAAGTGCAGAACCAGTTTTGGGCTCCTCAGCCAGATCAAAGATACTGAAAGGGGAGTTGCAATACAGAGAGATTTGGTGGAGGACTGCTGTCTGTCCTGTTCTTTCCACCCTGCTGCCTCCCCACCACTCCATAGGTCTGGGGAGAGGGATAGAGGTGTAGGGCATTCTTTCAAGCCCGTGTCTTTGAACTGGTGAACTTGAAGCCTGAAAACCTTTTCCTCTGGGATTCTGGAGCTGGGGTCTCTGGCATGCTGCAGGATCAGAAGAGGCCACAGACAGGGAGCAGATATATTCATCTGGGAGCCCCCACTGCCCACCTGCTTTTCCTGCTGTTTCTTTTTTGCCTTAGCTAAGCAGAAGTGTTTTATTTTCTTATAACCAAGAGTCCTAAATAATAGACATTGTGACCCTCAGTGTCTCTCACAGAACTTGGTCTTACTTGTGTTTTTTCCCTTCTGTTACCTGTAATTGCCTCATGGTTACTGAGATGATTAACTGAAATAACGGACATGAAAGCTTGGGGGAATTATAACATGTGAATATGGAGGCTTACAAGATTTGTGATTTTCTACCTGAGACTAATGACTTGGTCATTAGTCTCAGGTAAGAAGCATCATTGGCTGTCTTACTGTAGATTAAACGTTCTTTCAGAAACAAATGATACTATTAGTACGTTCTATTTTCAAGAGTTACATGACTTATGTATTTGTAGGAAATGAATGAATGGCCCTTGATAAATTATAGCCTTTCCAAGCTTAAAAAAGACTTTCCTGAGTTGAGCCTTAATTATATCCTGGGAAGCAAAAAATGCTGCCTCACTCATGTCAGGCGGGCAGTGCTTCATAACTCTTTGGCAGGGACAGTGGTGGTAGAATTTTAGAGTAATTGCACATGTATCTAGCTTTGGATTTGGGCGTTGGTGTTGCCACTCATTAAACCATGCTGTCTTATTGGTTGTCATCTTGTCTTTTGCACAGTGGGAATGATCAAGATTACAGGAGACTGAGGATTACAGGTTGTTAGCTGGTATGGAGTAGATGCTGAACAGATGCCACTTTTACTGTAAACACAGTAGCTTTAGAAACAGTTGCAGCTAAAGGGTGTGCGTTCAAAATTAGGAATTTGATGGTTAATGGCAATATCAATAACTCAGTATAAAAGTGAATTAACAAACTATTAGGTGCCTCCTTGGAAAGGGGTGAGGGTGGGGTGGATAAGCTTGTATGTATAGCCATTCTTGTCTGCTGGGGAAATAAATCATGACATATGGAAAAGTGAGACAATGTAAGGCAGCTGGCCTTTGGAAGATGGGAGAAAATTGGGAACAGAGAGGCTTCCTGGAGAAGCATAGGCTGATGGAAAATGTAACGAGGGAAGAGATGTCAAGAATAAACATATAGGGTGATTTAAATAGCTTATCTGTACACACTTACGGCTTCATTTTTCCTGATTCTGTCCACACCTGCAAAGTATTTCTGGCCAATGATGAAGATCCATGCCCAGTGCATATTCTAAAGCTTAACATTTTCACCATGAACCATTGGCTTTTTGTCAACTTATATCTAAAAGTGATCAGAATTTTCCTAGAAAATTCTGCTCTTCCCATTTGCATTACTTTGTGGTAATTTTCTGCACTGGAGAAAGCCTACTTGGGAGTTTTAATCCTTTTGAGTCATGCAGCAGGTGTTTACTGAGGTCCTACTACAGGTGGGGTACAGGCAGTGGGTTAGGGAGGCCTGGAGACTAGAAAGATTTGAGTGAGAGTGGTTCCTGCCCTGAAGCAGTTTGGTTAGTAGAGAAACAGATGGGCAAATGGACTCTTAATTAAATGTGATTAGTGCTTTATGTTGGTCGGATAAAGAAAGACATTTGGCGGGTCCCCAAATCCCCAAGTCCTCCACCAGCCACTTGCTATGTTCAGTTTAAAAAGACTTCCTGCCTTCCCAGCAGTCTGGACAAGTACATTCTTTATTAGTAACTACAGTTGGGACATGAAATCTCTCTGTATGGTGTCCTGCTTGGAAACATGTTGAAGTGAAGGTTCCTTTGTTATCTCTTCCCAAATCCTCCTCTAAGGAGAAAGTCCAGATTTCCTCTCCTTCCATGTACTAAAACCTACTCCTCCTTTGAGATCCCCTTCTCAAAAATAGCAGTGTAGTCAGCCCAGAAGCTTGAGAACATCTTAGATATTTTTCTTTTTCTTCACCTCCAGCTCTCCTTTTTGCAGCATTGGGGAGTGAACCCAGGGCCTTTGCACTAAGCATCGTTCTCAGCCCTTTGTATTTTTTTTTGTTTTAAGATGGTCTTATTAAGTTACTAAACTGCTGGGCTTGAACTCATAGTCCTACTGCCTCAGCTTCCCAGAGTGCTGGGATTACAGATGTGAGCTACCATGCCCTTCTCAGTTTTATCCAGGTATTTACCAAGTTCTATTTACTTGGACTTGAATGATGGTATTAACTACCCTCTACTTTTCTGTCCTTTTCCATCATCCAAGTTCTCATCGTCAACACTAGGTCATGATGCTTGTTATTGGATTCTAAAATTAATCCAGAGGGTCTTTTCTAGCATTTCAAAAATTACAGAAAAAGTAGAATGCAAAATGTAACATGTACTACATATTGAGGCTTTTACTTGTATATAATAACAGTTTTATAAAAATGGGTAACATTGCTAAGGGATTTATATATATTGAGTTCTTTATCCTCCATAATTTATATAGTTGGTGCCATTTTACTAGCACTATTTGCAGTTAAGGAAACTGAGACTCCGGCAGTTGGAGGAGATGGCCCAGGATCTCAGTAGTGCCAGAGTTCCCATTCAGACTGCTGCCTAGCCTCAGAGGCCATGTGAGTGTAGGTGTGCACATGAATTGATTGGTTTGTGAAGTAGAGTGTCCTACAGTCCTTGCAGGTTGTGGATAAAAAAAGTACAGACTGTTTACAGAACTCTGCTTTTATTTCCTACCTTCCAGGCCTCCTTACTGCAGCCACAGTAACCTTCTAAAATGCAAATCAAATGATGCCTTTCTGCAAGGAGATCTTTGAAGATCTCTTAATGTTAGAAGAGGTAAAAATCTGTGTGGTCAGAAGGCCCCATGTAATCTGGTTTCTGCTTGCCTCTCTACTCTTTTTTCTACCCCATTGGCCTTTTAGCTTCTAGGCTTTTTTTTTTACACAAGGGAAATGGCAATTATGTAGTTCAGCCTGGCTTTGAAAGACATCATGCAATTTACAGTGGCCATAAAGTTTCCTGCTGGGTGTAGTATTGTAATTTCAGCTGCTTAGGAGGGTGAAAAAGGAGGACTACAAGTTCGAGGCCAGCCCATGCAATTTAGCTTGACTGTTTCAAAATAAAAAGGGCTAAGGTTGCATCTCAGTGCTACAGAGCTTGTTTAGCTCTCCTCAATTTTCCTGTTCCTTTAATGTCTCTCTGAGGTTGGAAATACAACTTCAAAGCTCCTGGGGACATCATCTGGCATATCAGTGAATACTTATGTTCCATTATTGATGGAAAGTGAGGAAAGGGAAGAGTCTTATTTTTGACTAAATTGATATTCCTATCAAAATGTTTCTTATCCTGTCCTTCCTGTCCAGCCTTCTTAAAAAGTATCTCATTAATTGGTCCTCTTTATTTCTGTGAGTCAATCACAGTGTTTTGAATATTTTTCTTTGTTTTTATTTTTTAATTTGGCTCTAACTGGATGCAGAGTGGCAGGCTCTCAGTCCCTATCGGCTGGAAATGTGGTCTAGTAAGAGTCCTGGCCCTCAGGTCCTGAGAGCAGTTTAGCTGTGAGACAGCTTCCTGGCTGATAAAATGAGAGTGGTAACAGTGCACAAGCCTACATCTGGGTTGATTGTGCTAGTCAGGAGAGTGAAATTTGCTATGAAAGATACCTGGCATAGTGGTGTTGGCTCTCAGAATATGGTTGTTTTTAATGTTTTTTTCCTGGAGCTCTTTGTGCTTGACAGTGTGCTTTTGTGATGCGTGCTGCAAGTCCTTAAGCCAGTCAGAGGGAGTTTTCATTACCCAGTGTTTGTAGCCCCAAGCCAGAGCCTTTCAAATTCTTTTCCCCTGGTCAAATATTGGTGATTTTTAGGGCATGTTTAGGACTGGGGTGAATGTACTAAGAATTATAGATTCTGCTTTGGCAAAAGTAATGGCCACAGTGACAATAAGGTAAGAGATTAGGGTGTGGCAAACCAGATGAACAAGAGGGTGTGACCTGTGAATCATGGAGATCCAGGAAATGCCAAGAAAACAATTCCAAAGGCCTGCACTGTACTGTTTTCAGCAGATT